GTTCAATTGTTGTCTCATGTGAAATAAATTTTTCCTCTTGTCTTTTTCTTTCCTTTTTTTTTTGTATTTTCTACTGTTCCATTTTATACAACTGAATACTTAATACGCGTCTGTGTGTGTTACGTTAAACAATGAAAGAACAATTCAACGAACACAATAAAGAAAAGAAATGAATGATTTGCACTTTTTGTGGAGGAAGAGGCTCGTAGCCATAGTTTACTTTTAAATAAATGGCACACAATGTAAAGAAGAAAGAAAAGAAAAGAGAAAAAAGAATCACATCATATTGTTATGACGAACACAATTAATTCACAATCATGACTGAAAGTAAAAGTCTAACTACCTAATTTGTATTATATTATATGAAATTTGTTCATTTATTTAGATCGTCCAGGTTTGTCAACGTTAGGTGAAGATGAAGAACGATCGGCTGTTGATGCAAATAGTGGAAGAATAACTCATGATGATCAACAAGATGAATTAGAACCATTAGATGAACTAGAAGATATTGCACCAAGTGTAAGAACGGATGCAAATAAATTTCGTATGTTATGTGATAATGTTCAAAATAGTTATTCAGATATTGATAATTCGATGTTTGAATTACTCGAATTAAAAGATAATTTACTTCTACAATTTTTACCACCAAATGTTTCATCACGAATAACAATTGTTATATCACGAATATATCGTGCCTATTCATTATCTCAAGTGCCTATTAATGAACTTGTTCGTCTTGTTCAATTATATAGCCAACCATTTGATATGAAAAGTGTAGCATTAAAAAAACTCTATGAAAATAATGAAATGAAAAAACGTATGCTTAATATTGCTTTACAAAGATTAACATCAATGGAAAATAATACTAAACGTCATCAATATTTAAAATGTATTAATAATTGGGAAAAAATGTTAGTTCAATTTATTGATTTCAACTTCAATAAAAGATAATTTTCTTTTGTTTTTTAGGTATATTCGTCTTGCATTACCACGATCGAATGTACGCAAATGGAAATTTCGATTAAAAACATTTCGAGAAGTAAAAATTATTAATAAATAGAATTATTTACATACAAAAAAAAGTATCCTTTCTACTTGTTAGACAGCTCAGCTAGGTTATGAACGTGTTATCGAATGGTTACATACTACTGCACCTCGTCCATCATCGAGTGCTGAAGGTGTACCTAGAGATGAACCTATTGATGATGAAGATGAACTTGGTGATGCTGATCGAGGTGAAACATCAGGTGATATTATTAGTGTACCAGAAATTGATGAACAACAACGAATAGAACAAGTTTGTTTCTTTTTGTTTTAATTTACGCTACTGTCAAAAGTATTCTCCTTGATCCGATCTATGTACCTATGAGAGCTAAATGCCTGAAAATTCTTCTGCAGGCAGTCCACAGATAACGTAGGTTAGTAATAATATCAACAACAAAATTGCTCAAGCTAAAACGGAGTTATAATAGGTGACATTTACGGTCCCTATGAATCTCGTACCTCGTGAACAAATAAACTTCTTAAGTCACCCAATCTTCATTTTGTAGCCCTGCATTATAGCTATTTTTGGTATTAAGTTTGTCGAAATTCAACAAGCTATTGATGAACTAGACCATTTTTACTAAAAACATGCTTCATGCTGAAAAATCGATACTTACTCATATATTACTTTAAAAACAACGTATAAATATATGTAAACCTAGTTTTTCCTATTTTTATTGTCAATGGGAGAGATTGTCTTCATTTGTTGAGATTGGGCTCAGAAAATTGTCTTGTATGACTATAGAGTTCTTCTTGGAAACTTTCTACCGAATTACGGTATATAAGGATACAGTTTCTATAATTTCATAGAAATATTATGTTTTTAAGACGTCAGAGAACAGTTATTCTCAAAATTTCATATAGATCTATCAAATACTTGCTGAGCTATTGACTATTCAATGGCATTTTATTGTTTTTTTTTGCATATCCATGTTATTAGTAAAAACGGTCTAGTTCGTCAATAGCTTGCTGCACTTCGATAACATTTATAACGGAAATAGCTATAATGTAGGGTTAAAAAATGAGGAATCCGACGGCTTAAAAAACTTACTTGTTCTAGAGCTATGAAAATCCACAGTGATTGTGAATGCTATCTATTATAATTCCGTTCTAGCTTGAGCAATTATAGTACTGATATTATCACTGACCTATGTTATCTATGGACTACCTGCAGAAGAATTTTCAGAAGTTTAGCTTTCATAGGGACAAAGACCCGAGGAAGGGGAATACTTTGGACCAATAAAGTTTATTTATATAAATTTTATTATTTAGGGTTCAGATTTTGGTGATGAAATTGAAAGTGATAATGAAGGAAGTTTCTTGAGTAGTGCTGGAAAACAAAGAGCAAAACAATTAGCTGGATCAGCTGAAATTAAAGAAGTTAAACAAACACATCAACAACCAGTAGTAACTAAAGTTGATGTTGATATACAAGTACGACCTAATGTAGATGATCAACAAACATCAACTGGAGATATTCTATCAACAAAGTAAACAAAATTAGTAATTAACATAAATATTTTTATAATAAGTTATTTTCTTAGATCACTTATTATACGTGTATATCGACCTGTCGGACTTTTGAAAACAAAATTTCAATATATTATGCATGCTCAACGACAAAAATACACAACAACTGTATTCATATTTGATGTATTTATCATCTTTGTTTGTATACAAATTTTCTTTATCCATCTGTTTTGTTTTTAGAAACCAAACAATTCAAAAGATGATAATACAAAAACCAAAGGACGATTATCAACTAATCGAGTAACAAAACCTATCGATCCAAGTAAAGCCTTTATTCTTCTACAAAATAACAAAATAATGCATATTTAAATTTTTTCAGAAACTAAGAAACGTAGTGGAGATTCAACAACACCTGATGATGTTGATATAAATACTATTGATAAACAACAATGTGATGAAATTCTTATTCCAATGCCAAGTGTTCTTAAACGTCGATCATTATTTGAAACTGAAATTGATCCTGATGCTATACAAATAGATCTTCTTGGAGATGATAAACTCTGTGGATCATTAGTTCTTTCACCTGAAGATTTACGAATGCTTGTAAGCTATAATAAAAATTCACATTTTTTGTTTCGACAATAAAATAAAAATCTAAAAACATTTTAGGATCTACCTAATTTGCATAGTCCAACATCTGCACCTTTGATAATTATTGATGATAGCATATCAAATGTATCAAAACCAGAGACTAAAAATGATCAACTTGATTTTGATCAACAATCAAATGAAGTTTATAAATCATGGATTTCTCGTACACCACAAACATTTACAGCTTATAATGACAAACGGGAACCTATTGCTAAATTACCTTTACATATGTTTTGGTATAATAAAGTTCAAATAACTCATGCAACAAAATGCACAAGTAAATCATAGTGTTTTGTATTATATAAAAAAATAACAAAGTAAATATTCCATGTTTCTGTCTAGTGACTGCTCCTATGGAAGTTCGTGTACCAACACCTACAACAGTGTATGTTCCTCAAATATTAGCGCCAGTTGAAACACATGAAAAAGCTATATCACCAGTTGTAGTCACACCAACATTAGTTATTGATCAAAGTACAGAACCAGCTCTTAGTCGTTTAACAGTCGTTGATGATCATGTAGAAAGTATTAAAGCAACTTATGAAGATAAAATAAATAAACTTCATGAAAATTATCAGTATGTTATTTGTGATTTTGTTTTTGATTATAAGAAAATATTTATATATCTAGAGCAGAAATTCGTCGATTAAATAAACTTCTTAATGAAATACCATCTCGGCGTTCAAGTCAGATGGCTGAATTATCAGAATTAGATGAAAATATGCGTGAAATGGTCGAAGAAGAACCATCCAATATGGATACACGGTAGAATATTTCGAATGAATAGAAGAAAACGACATCAAATTCGAATATCGTATATGTTTTTATTATTTTAGACGACAAGTGAGACAACAACCAAAACGTGAAGTTGTTATCGAAAATCAACCAGCACCAACTTATGGCAAAGATCTTCCAAAAAAAGTGAGCTTTTTGAAAAGAAAAAAAAACTAACTAATACAAAAAGATAAGATTTATTTAACGTCAATTTGAATTTCTAATTTTACATAAAGTTTTATTTTTCAATAAAGAAATTTCTTAAAGTTTATAATTAAATTTTCTATTTAGTTTCTCGATCGTTATCATATGTTTTTGGAACGAAGTATGGCACATCGTACTCAATTAGCATCTAAAGTAGAACAAGAAGCAGCACGTACAGCAGAACGTCAAATGGAAATTCAACATCGATTACATAGACCAGAACAAAATGAAGAACGTTATGATGGTAATATTAGTCTATAGAATTTATATATATATATATATAATATAATTTAAATAGACTTATGTTTACCTGCGGTTTTTATGCCTTTTCGTTCCGGAAATGTTTTTAATCCAAGAGCTTATCGATTTTTTCATCATGTTGGTAAGTATTCTATTGTTTTTCTCATTTATTATTATTTTGAAAGAAACAATGAAAATATCAAAACAAATCTATAGGTTCATCGGATCCTCGTCTAACGCAAACACCATCAATATTTAAACTTCCACCGCTTCCATCAGGCTCTGTAAATATTCTTTTGTTTTTTTTTAATCATACATGTCACTCTATTTCTTGTTTTTGTTTTGTTTTGGATCTTATAGGTATCTGTATTAAATCTTTTTGAATTAAGTCGATGCTATGAAGCTGCTAGTGGAAAAGATCGTGTTGTGGATAAAACAACAAGTCAATCATCTCAACCAGCTCAACCACCAGCACCTCCAACAACTCAAACATCGAATTGAAACAATAGAAATATCTTTTATTCTAGACGTTGATGCTTTATTTTGTATTTTTAATAAAACTAACTTTCATCAAAATGATATTTGTTCATATTTCGTAAAATACTGCCTGTTCCTTTTTATTGTGATAATGGTACATAACGAATATATGCTGATACATCATGTGGTCCTATTGGAAAATCATCTTGTTTATTTGATAAACCCTTTTCACCATTATCATCATCATCCATGTCACATGATACGATTGGTTTTTTCTTACTACGGCGTATCTAGAGATAATCAAAAAGATAATATTGATTATAAATATATTTTTTTTCTATCAATTTAACCTACACGAGATGATGGAGTACGTTGAATAGGTGATTGAAACTCATCTTCTTTAGGTGTTTTAATCATATATGTTATGATTTTTCCTTCAGATGAACTATTCGAATGTATTATGGCTTCATTTAAATTATTTTGTTGATGAATATTGTTCGGAAATGGTGATCGTCTATTGTAAAGCGATGGGTTCTTATCTTCTGCACTTATGTAATAAACTTCTGGTTTTTGTTCATTTAAAGATTGATATGGTATTGATGATTTTCGTTTTGCATTAATCATTACCGATGATGAACGATAATTTGAATTTGCAATATCATTTCCTTCAACTTTAAGATGATATAATTCAGGTTGAATTGATGATGAACGAAAATTTCCATCGATTGATGATGAAGATAATTTTTGTTGGTCATATGATGATTTTTGTTGACCATCATTTAATCTTAGATAATACATTTGTGGTCTTTGTTCATATGAATTTTCTTCAGAGATGAGCGAACTTCGACTATTATTCTTAATACTTGCTGATGATAAACGACGATCATAACTATAATTTAAGTTTTCTGGTGTTTGAAGAGTATATATTTCTGCCATAGTGTAATCGGAAGTTTATTACAAAGTTGTTTTTGTTGGAATAGAAATTTTTTTTAAAGCTTCATCCTTTAACCAAATTCATGTACAACATACTCGAGAGAGAAAAAACATCAGCATATTTTGTCAATAGAAACAATATGATGCTTGAAATTTTACTTAGTCGTTGATAGAAACAAAGAATGAATAAAAATTTAAATATAAAAGAAAAAAAACACTAGTCACATGATGATGTAAAAAAAAAAAACTAATGTTCATGATATTAATTATTTAATAGTGTAATATCTCGTTTTTATGTCATCTAACAAAAAAAAAGTCACGATTTAGATAGAATTTCAATACTGATAATAATGTATTATTATCATCAAATATTTCAAAAAGGATACAGATTTTGATGAGAAATATTTTTGACGAATAAAATACGTTTTTTTTTTAAATAAATAATTCGTCTCGAAAAAAGACTGTTTAGATATTAATGATTTTTTTTTTAAATAGCTATTCAATCAATATGTCATTCATTAATTAAATCAAATGATGTATAAGATTTAATCGAAATTCTTTTTAAAACTTTATGATAAACATACCAATGATCATCCTATTAATTTTTATAAAGCAATTCATTCAACTTATTCTACTTTTCAAAAAAAATTTTGTTCTATTGTAAATCTTGAATGTTGATAAGAAAAATCAAGGTCAACAAACAATTAACATTATTAAAAACCAATGAAAAAAAATTCGAAATGAAAATTGATGAATTCTTTCATTAGTTTAAAAACCTGTCAGATGATCTCAATTTAAATTAACTAATTAATTTTTTTTTCCTAGTTTCAAAAGATCTACTTGTAATTTAAATTAAAAGCTTATTAGAATGCTCGAATTTCAATAACATAATAAAAAATTTTTTATCAATGTCATCGTCAACTTGAAACATATAATGAATAATAGCATCTCGTTCATCTAATAGTCAGATGAAGAAATAAATTTAATAGAAAAAAAAGCAAAGAAAATCTGTCTTTGTCTCATATAACTAATTGAGTTAAAGAGAACTCACAGAAGAAAAAGAACAGCTTGACTTGAAAACTATTTTCTCAGTGAAAAAGGTTTATAATCATGGATTTAAAGTTATTTTTGCATTTAATGGATTAGTGTTTGAATAAAATTTTTGATATAATTCATCATTTTATATATTACATGATGAGAATTTTATATAAAAAAAAATTTATTGGATCAATATAATTGTTGGAAAGCTGAGAGTTTTGTTTTCTGTAATAACAACAAAAGACTCAACAAGTAGAATTTTAAGATGACTTGCACTCAATAATTGTCATGTTTATATTGAAGAAAGTATGACAAAAGAACCGATAAAAATTACTTGAAAAAAAAACACAAGGCAAGATTTGAGGAAGGAGGAAGCTCTTACTCCTACGATGTCTCTAATCAACAATGATGATCTCAATCTTCTTCATCTCTAATTTATTGAAAACAATCTCTATTTTTAGTTTATTTTCTACTTTGATGTTCTTCTTTTTTTTATTAGTCAGACATTGATATAATCAACTATTGACTAACTAAATAGCCACCCTCGATTATTGGAACATTGTTTTGCATGTCAAGTTTATATTCAATAATGTGACAAAAAAAAATCCCATTCTACAGACTAGATGATGAATGTCAATCTGCCCTATTTCACATTTTACTAATTGTTGTTTGTTTGCGAAAGTAGCTGAATCTATAATAAAATGTGTAATGATGTCTAAATATTTATTTATTTTTTATTTGACTTTAACAACATATATAAAATATTAATTATCTCAAAAACTTATTTTTCATGACCTATATTCTTTTACTAGTGCAAAATGATATATAATATCATCGTGACGCATGACTTTAATGATCTACCGAGGTATAATGAAGTAATTTCTTTCTTTCCTGTTTTTTTTAATACTAAAATATTGTGGTAAGCAAAAGATATTTTTGTTAATTAAAAATAATTAATATATATTTGTAAGTACTCTATTAGTAAATCATGCAAGGTGTTATGGTTCTTTTAGGTTTTTTTTTCTTTTGCCGAATAGAAAAAATTACACAAGCATTTTGAAATAATTATCCGAGATTTTAATCATAATCCTATTTGTAAAAAAAAAAAAGAATGTCATGCAGTAGGTTGAAAGGTACTATATGAAAAAAATATAGAAATTTATTTTTCTTTCGTGCTTTTTATTAAAATGAGTTTAAATTATAATTATAATAGTTTATATAATAAAAAAAAAAAACTCATTAATGAAAAATAGTTAATTAAATTACCAATATAAATAGAACTAGAGAAAAATAAAATAGATAATTATTATTAATCGAAAAATAGAATATAACTGTTGTGTCAATATTTTCTGATAAAAATTCTAATATATTGATAACATCTGACACTTCTATTATTTTGACACTTTTTTTTTTCTGCAATGAAATGTTATTATAGCCAGCTTTATTCCTATTGATCTCAATAAATGTATACGTTATTTTATGACAATATTCATTATGATCTTTAGTTGTGTATTTCTAGTGATATTTCTTAGTGGAAATAAACAAGTTCATCGTTGGCATTATCTATGCGAGAGATGAATAATATAACATGCTCAGTTAAGACTTTTATATGCTTTTATTCTCGCATTCATCTTCATATATTTAATAATTATCGAAACAAAAAGAAGAAACATATAGCTTGATTCTAACTAGAGATTTTTTTGTCTTATCCCTTTTTCTTTTTCTTTTATTCGCGCGAGTGACTTGCATTTGGTTTGCTACTCTGGGCATACGGCATCTAAATCTGCATAGTATTGACGTTGCCTACGTATGACGACTTCTTATTCACTTTAGCGCTTGCTTTCTATAGAAAAAAGAGAAAGCATCCAACGTTGCCATGTTCAATCTTCATTCCTCTAGTTTTTGTGACGCCAATCTAAAGAAAGAAAGAACAGAAGAAGAACGAGAACAAGGAAGAAAGACAGGCAGAATGCGAGAAATAGTTCTCTCTTCGTTCGCTCATTCAGCAACCGCGCAAATCATATAAGGCAAGACTTCGAGACTTCTTTTCTTTCGCGTGTTTCTGTTTGTATGTGTGTTGTCGTTGAAAGAGCTTCAACGAGAAACAAACTATGATGTTGATAGTAGCAGTAGTGATGATGATGATAATCGTAGAAATCGATCAAAAGCAGATGAATGTTGGTTATATATAAATGCTCTGAAAAACATCATTTTCCTTTCGCTCTCAATAACGACTAACGACGTTCACATAATCGATTCTAGAGATTTTCTTCTCGATATGTTCTCTTATTTTTGTAGTTATGTAGCAGTAGCAGTCGAAGCAGTAAGACAAAAAAAAAGGAAAAAAAAAAGAAAAAAAAATAGTTTCCGCTTTAGACTCGCGTTTGATGTCTATGTGTATTCATGCAGGCAAACGCTACCATCACAATCAGATAAAATAGAGGCTATAAGACATGAACATTCATTCCCATGCATATAACAAAAAATATAAATGTAAGTACATAATCTTTAATGAATTGATTGTGTGTGTTTTTTGTCTTTTCTAAACTAGCCAATTTATCAAAAAATATATAGAGAGAAAATTCTTTTTTTGTTTTTATCAATGTAAATGCGTGTTCATCATGCTAATGATGGCATGAGAGATCGTGCATAATATATGGGTTACTGGAAAAAGCACGGCTCACTTAAGACGAATATCCGGTTGGATTACTTCGTCTCAAGGGTTTGAGGAAAGAAAACTTTAAAAATGAACACCCTCCTCCCCCTCTTCATTGCCAAAAAACGATGAGAGTACTCTTTCTTGTCTTTATTCTTAATTTATTCTATCTTATATGAGAGTGTAGTAAAATATTATTTGTACTTGATCACAATGTTCTTTGTAAATAAACATAAATCGATCTTAAATCGGCTTTTGTTCGTTATTTATCACGATATTATTGATCGACATCGATTGCACACTAATAGCATAAAAAATGTATATCTGTTTTTTTTATATCATAGCTATTCAATGTTGAATATCAATATTCAATGAGAATGATTAGTTCGTTGAGCTATTTCTCAAAACAACTAGCGTCAGTTATTTTCTTCACATAGTTTTACATCAATAATTGGAATAAATAAAAAAAGAAAAAGAAAAAAACTTAAGTGTAAACATTGATTCCCAAGAGAACATTCATATATTGAAAAAACGACAAAGAGGAAAAAAATGATAAATGTATATTTTTCTTTTCTTTGTTTTTTCTTTCTAGATAAATATAATGATGATATTTAACTAAATGGCTCATTTTACACGTTTTGTTTCATTTGAAGATAAATTCAATACAAAGTATAGAAAAAAAAAAAAAGACGAAGATTATTTTTATTTTTTTTCTTATGCAAATAATTTTTATTTTTTAGTTTATTTACATTTATTCTTCCAAGTACATATTTATTAGGTACAGAAGAAAAATTAATAACACGAGAATTTATTTGTCGACATATACCATTTGCATTAACATTTGTTAAAAATGGTGATCAATTAAATGCATTTCTATTACATCGTAGTCGTGACACAGAAAGAATTGAAATGACACTTGATTTAAGTGTTACATTATTATGTCGGGAACATTTTACACGTAACGAAACATTTATTGAAAAAAATTGTAAATTTACAAATAAAGTCACTTTACATGGAAGAAAATCATTTACATCAGTCAATCGTTTATGTTCAGTTGATTATATGGATGAACGTGGAAATATTCAATGTGAACTTGAAATAAAAAATCTTTCTATATCATATATAACAGAAGTACAATTAACACCACAATTAATTAATCCTCAATATGCACATGTTATACATCCTACGAATAATCGACAACCCATTGATGCTAAAATCGAAACACCATCATTTTTCTATTCAAATTATGAATGGTGTGTTGTTATACAACCAAAACTTGATAGTGTAGGACAACTTGGACATTTTCGAATGTTTATACAACGTTTAACACCATGTGATCATTCTGTTAAATTAACATATCGTGTTAAATTAACAGCTGGATCTTATACATGGGATCCATATCAAGAACGTAGAATAACTAATCCACATGATAGTAATACATATGAAATAAATTATACTGATGTACACGGTTTATGCCGTCCATATCGTATTGATCGTGTACGAGAATNTAAATAAATAACTAAAGTGATAATAGTATGGCAACAAATACTGTATTTTCAAATGACGGAACTCAACCAAAATTGAGCATTTCATTTATTAAATCACAAAAAGGAAAAAATTTATTGGTAGCAAATGAATATACTTTCAAACTAAACAAAACAACAACTACAACTAAATATTGGAAGTATACATACAATGGTTGCTCTTCTAAAATTCATACATTTTTTTTTCTATTAACATATGTTAATGTTAGCATAAAAAATAAAGAACGTCTCTTCTATTTCAAGATTTTCTAACAAGAATAATAAGCCATTTTCTTAATGTATATTTTTTCGATATTTTTCCCTTTCGACATTTTTCCTTTCGACATTTTTCCTTTCGACATTTTTCCCCTTCGTTCTTTCGACATTTTTCCTTTCGATATTTTTCCTTTCGACATTTTTCCTTTCGACATTTCTACTGCCAACCCAATAAAGTACGTACAGATAAACGTCGCATTTGTTGAATCCTTTTTGTTCAGTTTCATCCATCCCCTCATGCTCTCTTGGGCGCCCACTATTAAAAAAACCCAACTTTCTAGAAAGCGTCTGTTATCTAGGTTCAAGAAAGCGGTGAAAATAGTAGAAGAAACGATGACCATTTGTTAGTAAAAAAGTCGGCTTGACGAATTACAGTGAAGACTAATTTAGTAATACGCCGCTTCTAATGGTCGAATAGATCGCTCTGTGTTTTTCAAATATATCGTCTCTTTCTTGTTAAAAAAACCGTCAAGAAATAAGGGCTGGCTTCGGCACGACTTGGACGCAGGAGTTCGGCGATTACATCTGGTGCTCGGCTCTGTCTGAAACTAGAAAAATCCTGCCGTTGTATTCGATTACCAGATTTCTGCCTCAAGGTTTCTACGATTTTCCAGTTGAATACAGGGTTTTTCGGCCGGTTTCCGCCAGAAATTCACAGACTAATACAAATAGTACTCGAAAATCTAATCACGTTTATAGTACTGCTCGAGAAAATATCTATCTGTCCATGTAGCATAATCTCAAATTTAATTCAGCACTATATTCAGTTCATTTTCTATTTAGAAATGATCTTCGAAAGCGTCAATAGTGTGAAGAAAAAGAAAAATATTCATAGAAACTGTCTAGACGCTATTTATGGATGGTTTCTTACAAAAATATATTTAATCATTTTGTATTAACATTAAGAGAATACAAACACATCATATGATCATCTGAGTCTTTTGAAGATATATCCATTCGATTTCAAACCTAAAATCCTTTTTTCTGCCTTGAAGCTTTAGTGAATATCTAATTATAATTACTCATAGTTAAAACAGTATATTCATGTAGATCAGATACAGACAGAAGCGATTTTTGTATATAGATTGTATAGAAAAGATTTAAATAAATAGAAATTGATGTTGAAATGAAATTTATATATTTGGAGAAAGTAATTTTATAAAAATGAGCAATTATCAAATCATAGTCTTTAATCCTTATACCAAAATATGTTACTGAGTATTGATTAATGTCAATGCTAAGCTAACACTTCTATCTTGTTAAAATGTATATAGAAAAGATTATCTAGATTTAAAAAAAAAAAGAATTTAATATGTTAGATGTCATGACTTATTGAGCAAAACTTGAATAAGAAATTTTTTAAGTAAGTCTAAAATAAAAAAAAGAAACAAAAATGAACATTCAAGTTTTTATTAATAATTCTATTCAATTTCATTTCTTTTTTTCTTTTAGTAGTACAATTACAAAAATATCATCACTTTGTTTGAGACAAAACGATACCTAGTTGAGTGCATGCTTAAAATCTAAGATTTACATTTAATGACTTCATTATTAGTTTAATTAGGTTTTATTTACTTAATTAAAACCTTTCGTGACACTGCTACATAATTAAAACAAATATCAGACATTCTAGAAAGATTAGTTGAATGTGCTCAGAGTGGATGTTAAAAACAAGAGTCTTCCTTTGTTTTATTCTTCTGAAAAATATGAAAAACTTTGTCATATGATTTTTCAAAATGTCTGATATTATCAAAACGAACAATTTTCTTTCATAATACTAAAGTCAAAAAAAGACATTTCATTGTTTTAGAATGAGCAAAGTAAATATATTATACAAGGTTGTCATGATTATTTTCGATAGTTTTAACCTTGAGGATTTAAATTATTGACTAGATTATTTTAGGATTTGGAATAAAAATAATCATTCTCTCATTCAGACATCGTATTACAACGAGTGGCTTTGACCGTTAGGAAGAGAGAAATTTCATTTTTACTTGCATATTGTAAGACAATACAAAAAAAAATGAAAACCACAACATGATAGCACTATGTTTGATTTACGTGAATATAGGATTTCAATGACAATATGTAGCTTGATATATGCCACAACGAATTTCATATTCAAAAAGTAATCATATGAAGTAACGCATCTTTAATCAATCGAAATGACTGTAATTTGAAAATTATTAACGGTCATACTTGTTGTTAGTGTGAGGTCCTAATTATAGACTACACGGTCAAAATATGCAACAAACATATCAAGAATTCACTTAATATATGTCACAGTTGACATGTGAATTAAACTGAGTTTGAAATTTGTGAATTCATTAAAAATAACTCTTTACAGAAAAATTTATAATGTGAATAAAATTTTATTAACAAGGTCCACTAATTGCTTTAGACAAGAATTTTCTCTAGATTTTTTTTGCTTTTACTATGTGAAAAAAAAAACTCGATCCTGATTTTACGAAGATTGAGTATGCATCATATACCATCGATTAAAGTATTTAGACAACAAATTTAACTTTCAATTTCATTAATGCTTGTAACCATTCATTGTGGTCTCATATCATAATTAAAAGACACACATAGTAGCAAAATACACTTTCAAAAACCCAACCACATCAACCTCCTGTACGTCTGAATATATACTTTAAGACAAAACAACAATATGTTTTCCAAAAATTTCACCAAGCATTCAATGTTTCCACTCAGCTGAAAAACATCTTACGAAGATTTTATAAGGTCTTACAAGATTTTACTAACAATCGAATGTCGTAAGGCTTGTACCTATGTAATAACTGTCAAGAAACTATCAGCAGTATATTGACAAGTTTTTTCTTTTTAAAGTGTTATATCATGGTGTATTGTATCAAAAAGGATGAATACTTTTTGAAGACTGTTAAAACTGATAGAATTAAATTATTTTCGACGTATTCTGATAACGTTCATGTGTGTGAGCCGCCTATGTTAGCTATAGAGCTGAAATCGGGTCCCAGTGCTGTGAGATAATTTTTTATTAATGATGGAACAGAAAAAAAGTTTTATTAGTGAAGTGGTATATTCTGAAACTGTTCTACTCTGGAATAATTTAAACTTGGATAGAAAAAATTCTCTGCAATCGTTTATAGATGGAATAGAAAATCGTAAGCCGGAGCGCCCGTTCTTATGAGTACCGCGATATATATACGAGAAGTAATGCGATACAGATATCTTACAGTAAGGGTGCAATAACTACATTCTAATTTAGATGATACTTTTTTAGAATTAAAAATATATTTTCAATATAGTGATACTGATCAGTTAAAAAAGTTACTCTACAGATGTAATTTAATTGATTCGATTGAATAAAAGTAGGTGTTCTTTTGTTTAAATTGTTTATTTGAGTATTTTAACGATCACATTCATTAAACATAATTTTGTTTTAAAAGTCTTCTCAACGTATATTGGTGTTTTTATTTAGTTTTTGTTATTTATAAAAAATAAATATGCAAATCTGAGTAAAGATAAAAGACTTTCTCAGGAAAAACAAGATTATAGAAGTCAAAAATAAAAGAAAATCAGGTATGTAACATGTGGAAAATCGTGAAATATCATACATGAATTATATAAGATACAGTTATAATCAGTTGATTATTTTTCATGGCTCATCGTCATAATAATAATAACTGGTTATTTAGTTCAATAAATATGAGTTGATTTCGATCGGAACTAGAACAGCACGATCATCGGATGCTTGCCTCCAAGTTCCTCTCATTTTCCCGAATTTTCTAGCAGGAAGCGGCTTTTTTTCCGGTGGACTCACATCCAAGCAATTGACCTAGAATAGTTTCAAATTAACTCTAATATTTTTCTTGGAAAAAAAAAGGTTCTAACTTTTATGGTAGGTGCCAAAATATAGAAATGCCTATTTTAGGACACGATTCGAACGTTCAGAGAGACTTGGTTCTTTTTCAAGAGTAGAATACGTTAAGTCATATTTAAAATATATTTTTCAGTTGTTCGTGTTCAATTCAATTAATTAATTCTTTTTGTATTGATTGTAATATGTTTTAGATCAAAAAATTCGATCTAAACATAATGACTCATAGATATTTATCAATTATAGGAAATTATCTATGACAATATATTTTTTTAATTACATATTGATAGTTCATCAGATAATATGAGATTATCTTTTTTTTACACACATCATATGTTCTATTAATATAGTTATTTCTTATTATTAATGATATATTGAAAATAAATCCAGTCACCAAGTTTTTCTTGTAATTCTTTTAAAACACACTTTAGGTATCAGTTATAAAAATCAACCATTGATCATTTGACTCTATCAAGACAACTTCTATGTCACATAAATATTCATTAGAAGGTGTAATAATGTATTATAAAAACGCAACACATGCATTAGAAGCATGCACACATTTGTAGCTTCTTCTGTCTGTCTTTTATAGTTGTCATAATGTATGTACTATGTACGCCTATCTATTTTCATTATGACGTATGAATCTACGATCAATTTATGACAGATTCGATATATGAAAAAAAGCAATTTGAGTCGAGTATGTTGCAAAACTTCAAGTTACTCGTACTATTTAATGATTCTTTTTTGTACATGCTTATTACTATTAAAATGAAGGGAAAAAAAAGAAGAACACAAATCAAGCGTGACTATTCAAATAAAAGAAAATGGTATAAAATGTCGATATACTTTTTATGTACATTTTCACCTTTTAAATGGGTAAAATTTAGAATGAGTGAAGTATAGAGGCCGTCGGATTCGGTCGAGCAGTACTTTGATAATCTCAATGAACTTTTCTAATCGGAATTGGATAGTCGTCCTCAAGATATGAGATACTTTTTGTCGGCCCTTTGTATTCGGTGACTAACGCATCCTACATATTTCTCAGACGATTAGAGCTCATCGGACCTGGTCATATAGAAGATCAATCCGACGGGCTCTGCTAAAGAAATCTTTGATTAAATATAGACGTTGATGAACACATCATAGAATGAATAATATCAATTATTATAATGTTTTTCGTTGTTGAAGAATTTATTGAGATATATTTCAGGTAATAATTTGTCCGCGGAAAAAAAAACCTAAATCAAATATGAATCAATTGATAACATACAATAATGCGAATGATGGTGATACATGTCGACGTTATACAGGTTTTCCACTTAATTCAACATTGGTTAGTTCTTATACACCAGATACAATTCGTACTATTATTACTCATGCTATAACTGGAAAACCTTATAGTACGTAAATATTTTCGCATGAATTTTTTTTATATAAATTCATTATTTTCTCTTAGCAACGTCTGTTTGGATTCGTATTAATAGTGTTGGAATTCAAATTAGCGCACAAGATCCTCAAATAGCTCGAACACGTATACCTGTTTTTATTCCAATTGGACTTGCTCATGATATATTTATGCAACCAAATATAAGTAATGTTATTTGTATTGTTTATGATGAAGTTAAATCAACTATGAAAGGTGTTCTCTTATATGTTGTACATCCAACAGATGCACATTTATTACGTGATGATTTTCGTATAGCTAAACAATTGTCATATTCAAAAGGTATTGAAAATCAAATTATTATTGATAAACATATTCCAGAAAATAATCGATTATTTTCTCCAACATCTCAAAAACAAATAAATGAAATTTATCTTAATGCTAAAATTAATCGACAACAATCACCAAGACGAATTTTATATGTTCGTGATAATGATATAGGTCTAAATAGAGATTATACACCAACAGCAATTCCAATATCATTACCACAACTTAGTTATGCACCATTCAAAGGTAGTTATCACAGTAGTCGAGAAAATAGTCGTAATCGACGTAATAAAAGTCCAAAAAAAAATAAAACAGGATTTTCATCAAATAAACCATCAAATGATAGTGGAAGTAAAAATCGACGAATATATCGATCACGATCACCTCAAACACAGGTCGAATCACAATTACCTGATACTAGTGACAGTCCTGAATTAAAACAAGAGCAGTCGAATCAAGAACAAGAGCAAGAACAAGAACAACAACAGCCACAGCAACAACAACAACAACAACAACAGCAAATGACCGCATGGCAAACTGCTCAACAAATGCCTATGATTCCAATGGGAGTTTATCAACGGTAAAGAAACAAAGAATATTTATCGAAATTTTTGTTTTTCTTCTTTTTATTTTAGTTATGTTCCTAAAGTCATTCCATTGGCGACAGGTGAAACAATTAAAACAACAATTCCACCTTCAAATAATAATGGCTTAGTTATTGCTCATATTGAACCACAACAAAATGAAAATGTTAAAGATTCAATACGTTCAACATCACGCTCACGTTCTGTTTCATTGAAACGTCAAGATTCACAGCAACAATATCGTCCATTAAGTGCTCATAATGCTGATGCATCAGCTACTCTTATACAATCTGCTCATCATCATCATCATCATCATCGACGTCATCAAATAAATGATGTTAAATATTCATTATCAAAACCTGATTCAAATATGTACAATACAATATCACATTCATTTCGAACACGTGCAAATTATATATCAAGAACAAATAATGCTAATAATAATCATTATCATACTGATGATGAAAATCAAACAAAACAATATTTAAAACAATTAATTGATGATATGCATACAATGAAATTAGAAATGAGTAAAATTCGTTTAGCATCATCATCAATGGGTACAACAAAAGGACGTTCTGATTCATTACGAATTAATTTAACAGAATTACGTAATGATATTGATGCTATTTGTGCACGAATGGCAATGACATCAAAAATTTCTAAACAATAAATGTTTGCTTTCTTTTTTTTTGTTTCTTTTCTTTTATTTATTTCAGAATTTTACAATGTCTAAGGAAGAAAGAAAGAAAGAAATGTATTACAGATCTACGGGATAGAAAAAGAAAACGAACTAGTAGGAGAAAGATAATAATGTTTTGTATTTAATCCATTAAATTTATAGTTGAGTTATACCAATTGCAGTAATAAATGATAAAAGAAAAATAATAGCGCTCACCTTGTTATAACCCTCAAAGCCTTTACCCATATCCCATGCCTACAAAAAAAAAATTGAAATTAAAACATTTTATTTCAAACTAAAAAATTATTACCAAATGACGAATACCATTTAATGCATGGTATGAAAGACTAAAAGAAATAAAAATAATTTTTATATTAAGAAAAAAAAACATGAAAGACTATTGAGTGAACGAGACACTCAATAAAAATAAAATTTCTTTTTTCGTTTTTTATGCATTCAACGCATCGATGTCTGAAACTACCAACACCAAAATTTTATCTTATAATCTCTTTTCTTTCGAAAGTTAGTCAATAGTGACTTTTTACCAATATTGTATCTTTAAGAGTCACTGGCTTGGTAATTATCTACTATTTTTCGAAAAATACGAAAATTCTTTTGAAAAAATTCACATATATTATTCAATCTACTTTGTGTGATGATGTCAATATCATCACTTAGGTCTATTCAGATAGTAGTGACTCTATTCAAGATGGCTTGATATTACGTTGGTGATTAAAGTGTACTATGAACTTCCGGATAATAAAAAAAAAGTTTTTATTTGATCACTTCATTCGATAAAGTTCGTCTAGGATGCGCTATCACATGAGATATTATTGAAATTGATTGCATGTTATACTACGAAGAAAATTAGAACTCAAGTTGAAAACGATTTTGTTACTTAGCTATATATTCTACCACTTCTCTTCATACACGCAAGGCATACAC